CAAACTATTTTAATAGCTCATACCTTTTCACAGTACCCTCTTTAAAAAATCTGTATACATGTAGAAATAATTCCAAACAAAGCTGCATCGTGCCAAGATTTTACAGGAAGCACTTATAAAGCATTTGGTAAAAATCAGATGAGAGTGGTCGATTGCGGTTATTCACTCAAATTTACATAAGGATTTATAACCAGGGAGGGGCTCTAAAAGATCCCTTAAACTGATATTTAATGTACTGTGTGAGGATGCCATGCGTACAGACTTTTATGAAGTAAAACTGCACCTGCTGATACCCCCTCCAGTCCAGTCTAACGTTTCTATTAGACATCCTGCACAGGAAGTCAACTGTATGTGGGTGTGCGTTGATGTCCATAACTAATGTAATGAAGGCCATGACTCCATTAGTACTCCCTTCCTGCAGAGTCCCATCATACCACTCCCAGTGGATAAAGCGCAGTAGACAGCAGGGCAGGCACATACAGAAAAGCGTATAAGATTTGGAGACCGAGAAGCTGAAAATGTCGACAGTTGCAGTGTAATCTGACCTCCTAGCACACTGGCACGTCAGTGTTGGGATCAGAGTGGAGGGGAGAAGGAAAGACAGGGAGCAGGGAGGCAGGGATTGAGGCATTTTGCACAGAAATGGGTTAAACTGGCAGTCGAGATGACAAGGAGAAAACTGGGGTAAAGTGTCAAACTCAACTGAAGATGAATAACAAGCTGACCAGAAATAGTGAAAGTAATGTGGTACATGTAGAAGAACCAGATTAAAGAGACCTATAAACTACGTTCGAACACAATGTTTGCTAACTGCAAATGAGAATATTCAGTATACATAACTATTGGTCCTATTTGTGTGAGTGTTTGCCCCATTATGAAACGTGGTGTCCATGGTGTACCCCGACTCTAGCTCGACACCAACAGGAATAGGATAGTCCTGCACTGATCAGAATTCACTGATTCAACAACTAAAACATATTTTGGCAAGTAAAGAGAATAAACTACAGCTGTTTCACATCAGCCCAGAGAGAGCCCCACAACACAGGGTCAGTTCAGAAAGCAGAGATGTGGACGCACACGGCGAGAAAGAGGCTGTTTGTCTCCAGGAATACCACAGTGGAGACAGGAAGTATTTTTAGACCTGCAAGAAAGATCCTCATATCACGAGGTGCTTTGTCATCCTCTCTTTGTCTCCCTCGTGTGAAGCTGTTATTGCAGCCAGGACCATGGTCCTTTAATCACTTCTGTTTACCTGCATCACCATTTTTATTTTCCTCTTTATTTAAATGTTTTTCCTCCATTTTTCCCAAATGTTTTTAGAACTCTTAACTACTTCTGCATTCTTTGAGCTATTTTAGTTATGTATTAGTTATATGTCAAAACTTTCAGCTCATTCAAGACATGGATGCTATGACTTTTGTAACGTTTTAACTTTTCAGAAAATATGATTTTACAAAGATGTTAGCTATACAAATACACTGAGACCTCTTTAACTCCTTCAAAAACAGTGTACTCTTGGAAATCTGTTTCAGCATACATGTTTGTTTTTGTCTTTCTGTACTACTTTTAGTTTTTAGCTGCTTTTCTGATTTTGATTTGTAGCTAACAAATAGCTACTTTAATACTTTTTTAGGTGATACTTCAGCCATCTTTTAAAATGTAGTTATTGCTTTGCTTAGGGATGCACGATATTATCGGGATGGTATCGGCCGATATTGGCGTTAAAGTTAAATATCAGACATCGGCCATTCCATCAAAGTAACTCACCGATATAAAAGGCGCTGTTTTTGTATGACGACCCAGTGACAAGGATGCCTGCAGCACCAGCACAACATGGTGACGTCACGCTCGCCTACCTGATCTGAGCACGGTGGAGAGGAAAATTCAAAATGTCGGCGGTGTGGAAGTTTTATTTTTCGTTGGTGAGGATGTCGGATTCCAAAGATTTATGGACTGCGTTGAGCCTCGCTACATCGTTTCTAGTCAGAGATATTTTTCTGACGTAACCTTAGCCAAGTTACAAGCCATCATTTCCAACATCATTGAGAAACTAAAAGCAGATAGCACTTGGGTGAGTTTTACCACAGACATTTGGACGTTGTGTCTTAGCCCCGTTAGCATGATTAGTCTTACGACACAATATTGATATACAAAAACTTTGAACTTAAAAAGTCTGTCCTTCATGCACAGGAGTGCACAGGATCCACACTGCAGCTAGGAACCTGGAACAAGCTCCACAAGTGAGACAGCATCGCAGGTGACTAATGCTAATAAATAACATTTAACACTTTTCATTTAATATAAGTTAAAGTGCTCTGCATATCATATGGCTGTTACTGAATATATGTCACCAGCTTTTACACACATTTTGTAGCAAATATGCCTAAATAAGAGGGCTATGTTCTGACAAAGGAACGTTTATTAAAAATATCGGTATCGGCCAAATGCGTTTTAACATATCAGCGTATTGGATATTGACCAAAAATCCAATATCATGCATCCTTAATTTTGCTTCTTTAAGTTAGCAAACTTTTTGCTACTCTGCTTCTTTTTTATTCCAGCTGCTGTTTTGCTTCTTTTAGCCAGTCCTTTGCTACATTTAGTTTTTAGCTAGCTTTTTGCTACTTTTAACATTTGTTTATAGTGTTTTGCTACTTTAAAATGTTCAAAATGTTCGCTACTTTTTGAATTTATATGTATTTTTACACATTCAACTAACTTTTAGCTACTGTTAGATTTTAGCTAACCTGTCCAGAGTGTCCCTGCCTCTTGCATAGTGACTGCTGGATATGGACATCAGCGACCCAGAAAGGAAAAAGCAGGAAAAGATAAAGGACTGACGGATACATTTTAGCTAGTATTTAGCTACTTTAAACTTTTTAGTTAGCCTTTTGTTACTATTAATCTTTGTTTAGTGCTTTGATACTTTTTGCTACCGTTTTCCAAATTTAAGTTTTAACCAATTGCTACTTTTAACATATACCTAGTTTTGACAGCTAGCTTTTTGCTACTATTAGATTTTAGCTGTTGTTTTATTACAATAAGCATTTAGTTAGCCGTTTATTACTTTACTTTTAACTTTAGCTAGCCTTTTGCTGCTTTTACCCTTTAGCTACAGATTTGCTACTTTGAGGTGGTCTGTTGCTACAATTAGCTTTCAGCTAGCCTTTTACTACATTTATCTCTTTTTTTATTTATTTAAACCTTTATTTTACCAGGAAGAAATCCATTGGGATTATTAATTTATTTTACAAGGATGTTCTGGGCTACTGACTTGCTACTTTGAGGTGGTCTGTTGCTACACTTAGCTTTCAGCTAGCCTTTTGCTACTTTAAACTTTTATTGATTGTTTTTGCTACTTTTGATTTTTAACTTTAACTTCTTTTAGCTTTTAACTATTATTCAGGTCTTTTTAGTCTATAGTGTTCTGCTTCTTTTAGCTTTTAGAGTTCTGTTTTAGATTTAACAACTCGGTTTCAGCTTCTTCTTGCCTTCTGCAAAAAAAAAAAAAATAATAAAATAAGAATGAACTGTCCCAGGACATTATTGTCACTGGTGAACTCAAACAGTTGTGGTACTTTTTGTACCACAATTTGTTGAGCAAACATGGAGCTTTAAAAGTTCCATGTCCTTTTATTTTTTTATTCAAACGATTTAAGACAAATGACTGAAATGTGCAACTTTTCTGGGTGAAATTGACCTGAAAGTGCACATTAACGATGGCCTTGATGCTGGAGCTTTCACAAAAAGAAGGACTCTGCGGAGAAACCTTTCATTTCCAGTTGGTGATGCACCCACGAGCTTTTAACCGTGTTCAAGAACATGCAGCATCACGCTTCATGCTCCTTCTGGCTGCACAGTTTGACATTTACCCCCCAGCCAGGCTCGGACAAGCCAGAGTCAAGTAACTCTCTGTAGACACGCCATATAAACGACAAGATGTGATGGCCCCCTCTTAATGCTGGGGCCCTCGGGTCAGCCAGTTTATTCATAAAATCTCGTGTCTGCTGTAGCAGCTCAATAAACAGAGGAGCAGCAAGCGGCTGTAAAAAGAAAAGTTGTTCTTATGAACACACAAATTAAGTTGCTTGTGTGCTTAAGCAAAGTTCTAATATTGAGTGTGTGGGGAAAACAAACAAAGATGATACAACATCACACTAAAATGCATGACTTGCATCAGCTCAGCCTTTTAAAAAAAAGAGCTCCTCAAGATAAAGATTTAAAGTTTGGAGACTTGTCTCGGCTCCAACGAGCCTACAATAATCAATGATAGGTCAAATATTGGTTCTTTAATGATGCAATCAATGTCCAAACACCCGAGGCTGCGTATGCTTGTTGATTCTGGTGGTAATCCATCATAGCATCTGATTCTTAAGACCCCACCCTGTAAGAAGAGCCCAAAATGTGCGTGTGTGTGTGTTGCACTAGAGTCCATTACTGAAATCATATTATAATAAGAGCGTGCACGGAGACAGGAAACAGAGCTGCACCATCTCCTGATTCACATCAGCTATAAACTAAAACAAGCAGAACACAGTCGTAGTTCCTGGATTAACTTAAAGCCATGCTGCAAGTCTAAACAACAAATAAATGCTCTGAAATAACGCACACACACACGCGCACACACACACACACACACACACACACACACAAGCACTTAGTGCACAAAACGTATGTTTGAGCAACGCGTGCACTTTGCATGTGTTGAAAAGACAAATGAAGATATTATTGGTTAGTTGGAGGCAGATCTGCTGCCCCTCTGGTCACTGTGGTGTGACCACATCTGTAAACACCTGCATGATAAATAAACAGCTCTGCAGATGTGCTGCTGTTGAGTTGAGCGGGCACAGCTGGCTCACTTCAGTATTTCATTTTCCAAACATCTGGGAGCCTCTGTCTTCTCATTAGCAGCTATAACGACCTGCTGGAGCTCGGCCCCGCCTCGGACCGAGCCGTTCCACGGCAGACCGGGCCACGGGGCTGCGGGGCTGCGGACCCACCTGCCGTATGCGGTTGTGGTGCGGCGGTGGAGGTCCACCATCCAGGGACGAGTTGCTCGAGGAGGCCTTCTTGGAGTCGCGGTCGGAGCCGCCGCCCCTCGAGCGACTTTCTTCGGGACTACTTGACATTCCGCCTCAGTGAACACGGTGACGGAGACGGGGGTCTTCCGGCGCGAGGAGGGTCTGCGTACGGGCCTCAGAATCCACAGGACTCGGCGGGACCCGGGACCATTCTGTGTCCGTCCTCCGGGACAGTGTGCGGTGAAGAAACACGCGCAGAGACTTGTTCCGGACTCCCTCGGTGCAAGGATGCTCTCTGTGCAGCTGTAGCCTGCGCGTGAATGTGTCCACACGCGTGCACGCGCTTTCTTCAGAGGCGCTATCCCGAAACTCCGCAGGATCCGTGCTGCCTTCCAGGACAGTCGGAATTTTTCTTAACGCAGCATTTAACGCTAAATAAACCCCCCAAACTGGGAATATTTTTCATGAAGTCTCTGAGATACGACTTTTTATTGGTGTATAACGACATATGTAAAACAAAAAATATTTTATATTAACAAAAAATGTTATTAAGCCCATATTTTACCGAGCATTATAAACTAGGTATAGATTTTTTCCCCGTTATCATGAACACACCAATGTTTTTACGTCTCCATATTCATTTATTTTTTGTAGCAATAATATAATGGTTTAACTTTAAGACGTCAGTTTGACCCATAATACCCAGGGTTTTATAAAATAGCACTGCTTTCATACATACAGGGCAGCGTGTTGGGTTGGCTTACATGTAATATTTCCCAGTTTGGCCTGGGCTTCTTCATCAAATTGTAGTTTTATTGAAGCTGGCAGGGATGAATCAATAATATTTTGGACACATGGAACGAGGGAAAAGTACAGATCTTCAAAAAAGAAAACACAAAATGTCACAGCAAATAAGACATATGAGCTCAAAAGTATGATTGTTTCAGCTGACCTATTAATTTTTTAAGTTAATGTTAATATCTACTGTACATAAACAAGTGTTTGCCAGGGATTCATGTTTCTGTTGTGTTCCTTCTCCTTGGCTAAATTTGAATAATTGCTTGTCACAAGAATTTGCATTAGAAGCTAAAAATGAGAAGTCCAAAGCTTTTCCACCAACTACTCTTGAACACTTTGTATCAGAGTCAGAGTTTCTTTATTGTCATTCGCACCTCATGTGTGTGGTACATGTGGTGGAGCGAAATTATGTACACAGGGTCCCAGTTACATCCAACAATAAAATGTCTAAGAAAAACAGTAATAACATCTAAGATATGAACTAAGAAAAACATCAACTAAATATACACTAAGCAGTCATAACATAAAACATTGAACATCAGCACAAACATGAACATGAGTCTGTGAGCAGATGTGCACGCATGAACACATCAACATTGAAACAGATCAGCAGCAACATGAAACAGATCAGCAGCAACATGATATGGTTTTTCACAGTGATTATTCTAGTTAGAGATTCATGAGTCTAACAGCCTCAGGGTAGAAGCTGTTCCTCAGTCTAGTGGTTCTACACTTAATGCTCCTTAACCTCCTTCCTGAGGGGAGTGGGGCAAAAAGTGTGTGTGCTGGGTGAGTGGGGTCCTTCATGATGCAGGTGGCCCTCTTCCTGCATCTACAGGTGTAGATGTCTGTGATGGTGGGGAGACTGATTCCAACAGTCTTCTGTGCAGCCTTCACCACTCTCTGCAAAGCTTTTCTTTCTGCAGCTGTGCAGCCTCCATGCCACACGTTGATGCTGGAGCACAGGATGCTCTCCACTGCACACCTGTAGAAGGAGGTGAGGACTGAGCTTCCCAGACCAGCTTGTCTCAGCCGTCTGAGGAAGTAGAGTCTCTGATGAGCTTTCTTGATCAGGCTGGTGGTGTTGTTGCTCCAGCTGAGGTTGTCATTCATGTGTACACCCAAGTACTTGTAGCTGGAGACCACTTCCACTGCAGATCCTCTTATGTTCAGGGGGGTGTAGATGTTTTTGTTCCTTCTTAAGTCCACAATCATCTCCTTTGTCTTCTTCACATTGATGTGAAGGTTATTCTCTTTGCACCAGCTCTCAAGGTGTTCCACCTCTTGCCTGTAGCTGGACTCATCATTGTTAGTGATGCATCCCACCACCGCTGTATCATCTGCAAACTTTACAATGTATCACACCTTTGTGATCATTTATAGGAGTAAATGTGCTCAGAATGGTTTTATGAAAAAATACTATTAAAGCCTTGAATAAAAAGCAACAGGAAACGGCTGAATCACTCACATTATGATGCACTGAAAGATTATTAGGAAGGCACGCGCACGTCAAAAAGCTAATTCAGGGGCTATCTGGACAAATATGTAAAAACTGAAAGCAGAAATTACTTTTTATGTATTTTTAAAAATTTTCTTGGTTTTAAAACCTTATTCATCTGACTGCATGTTTAATGTTTCGATTCTGTGACTTCTCAACTTATTTCAATTAAATCAGATTAAACAATGATCTAAAGTCTGGAGTGCGCAGAGTCTTGTGAAACAAAATGTTTCTTTTACCGTTGAGTTCATTAGTTTTATTTCATCTGTAGAACTGAAGTAGCAGCTTCAGCTGAAGTTTCATATCCAAGCAGCACGAGGAAAGTTTTCACCTCGTGACGTCCTTGCAGATTACTGCTTCATCCGTTACTCTGGAGGACCATGATGAGGAGCGTGTGTGTCATACAGCTGTTTTTATGCATGCAGTGAACTTAACCTGATGTCAAAACTAAGCCTAAGGTCAAAACCCTTGACCTTAAGAACCTTGTGGGACAGGAACTGTCATTTCATTGATTTGAATCCAGAAATACAGGTTCACCCATCCTGAGACTCTCTTTCTTGAAGATCAAGTGAAGGAACACTCTCTTTTTATTATCATTACTATTTTACAAATGTTGATAATCAAAGTGTCTTAGTTCAAACCATTTTAGATGTTGCAGTGAACTAATCAATTTTATTAACTGTGAAACAGTGTAATGATTTTGAATGCTTATGCAGAGTTAGAATTCATGTTAAGGTCTGTTACAGATTTTTATGCATTTTCTGATTTCTGTCTTTGAATGAGCAAGTGTGCGTTTTCCAAGGTCAGGATTCGAAGCAGACATGTGTTGGAACAACTGTCTTGTTTACATCCTCTCAGACGTAGAGTTGGCACCTGTATTCCAAACTCGCCAAAACAAAACTCTCTCTGTCTCTGAGAACAGTTTAATCTGTTCCATAACAATTCTTGCTTTTTCTGACTCCTAGTAACCTCTTACGTCACAAAACACACCCGTCTGGTTGATATTACCCAATCAGGACGCTCAAATATACCGGAAATAGAGCTCTTTAAAAATGCCGGTACTTCCTAGTTCTCTCAGTTCTGAGTCTGAAGAGTTCAGTTCTGCGCGGAGAAGTTCAGTTCGGTGAAGCTTCTGAGCAGTTCGGTTCTGCGCTGAGAAGTTGTTTGGGAGAACAGAAGTCCAGCATGATAAGGCTCCTCCGAGTTGGATTATTGCTATTGCTGACGTGAGCTGGTGTCGGACGGAATCTCGTCACTACTTCGGAAGAGTTCAGCCATCCTATGGAGACGCTGGACAGGTAGCGTTAACTGGACCTCCATATCTGCTGATTAATCTTCAGAAAGGTAATGAGTCAAGTTTCCTACCAAGCGTACCGGGGAAAGCTGGGTTCTGATGGAGAGTGTCGGTTCTGGTGAACACTTCCCCTCACATACCATCTTTTACTCCCTTTAACTTCATTCCCATCTTTAAATTCTTCTCTAAAGTAGAAATCCTTCCAGATATTTTAGAAATGTCTGTGTAAAGTGCTCATCCTCCGCCGTGTGGATAATTGATCATAATTGTACAGTTTTCAGAAATGTCTGTGGTGAAGCAACGGAAAATCATGGCCGTATGGTTTTCCTGATTGATTGATTATGTTGTTATTTTCATATTTTGCCAAATTAATGTAAATGTTTGATGTTAAACTTTGATTCTGTAAATAAATGACCACATTCATTTTGATGGGTCAAAGATAAATGACGTCTCACGTTTGCATTTCATTAAATTCAATGCACGTTTTATTCAGTCCAGAAAAATGAGGAATCCGTTTTAATTGATGAATATATCTCTGCATCTGTTCATCTACATGCACACACACCTTAACACTGCCCGTTTCCAAAACATGGCATCAGTAAAAACTCACCCCAACCTATAGGATCACTCCCAACGAGCTGGATCAAAAACATTTCACATGATCTCAATCTGCACAACTCTGACCTAAAACCAAACGTGTGACAAATCTGAAGCACGTCAAAAACAACTGTAAAAATATAAAAGTGCTTTATTACACATCTAGCTTTTACAAACAACAAGCCGCTGAGACGGTTCCAGAATGACAGCAGCAACAAAAACAACAATGGAGACAAACGACAGAAATCAAAGACACGGGTGGGAAAGCTTATAAGAACCAGAACTGAGACTTCAGTGTTTTTCTTTTAGTGCGCAGAGAGTTGGTCCAGGTTGTCATGGCTGCGACACGAGAGGTGGGCCCCCAAAATATCTCCAAACAAACTTCTTTTCAGCAAGCTGTAGGCCATGGGCAGGAGCTGCTTGATCACCTTGTGAAAGTACTGAAGGAGAGAGGAAACAGAACAGTGAGGACTTTAATCCATCCTCTTTATTAGTACGTAAATGAACAGTGTGCAAATTCAAAATAAAACAAGCTCTGGTGCTGTAAATAAACTAGAAGGGTTCAAGATGGCTCCCAGATGACCTGCGACTGAGGACATGCATCCATGTGAGACGGATGCTCAGTCCTGCAGCTCACTAACATTTCCAGACATTCTGGGAACTCCTTCACGAGTGCTGTTCACAACTCGGCACGCCAAGGTGAGATACTGAAGCCCACGTCTTTAAGTTGTGTAAAAATTTAATTTTAACTATTCAGGATTGTAAACTTTTGTAAACCTCATGTCAAAACGACCAGACAACCCAAATGATTCAAAACATGAAGGGCTGCAGGTTTTTCCATTTGTCGTGACAGAAGTCAAAGGGTTAATATTAATCCATTTTAAAGACTCACGTGGGATCCATAGCAGAAGAGATCTATTGCTAGCTCGTAGCCCATTCCATAGTCGCACTCGTCATTAGCAAACTGAACAAACGTGATCATCTCCTGAATCGGGCCAAAGGCTTTGACGCGCTCTTCATCACTCCGTGCTTCGGCGATGGCTTTACAGATCTTCCGGAGACCAGCTGGGGGAGGTGGAAAGAAAATGTATTCAGATAAGTTCAAACATGGGAATGAATCAAAGAATCTAATCAAGAGTTAAAAAACCCAAAAACAAGGCCGTGTTAAAAACATCAGCAGGCGTATCTGAGCTCACCATCTGTTTCTGGTAGTTCTCTGTATCCTACATCGTTCTTATCAACTGGTACGACGATACCAGAACCATGGAACGTCTTGGTGACCACCTACGATGTGACAAGAGGCTTTAGTCATTTATTAGTATCAAGATTAAACTCAAAGTTGTATACATTCTGAAGGAGAGCTACAGAAACATCAAGCAAAAAGTACACCTGGCTACAGGATATGAAGTGTCCATTCTAGCTCTACGGTTCATGATTATTTAACCTTTACGATTAGAAAAAGACAAACAACATCGTTCATTAGCAGAAAATATTTTTTTACAACAAAACTCAACGTATTTAATGAGTGTTTTTTTTAAGATCAAGCAAAAAAAGACAACTGACGAGAAAAAACCTAATTAGCATAAAAACAGCTCATAATATGCATAAGCAGTTATAAGAGCGTGCTCACAGATATTACTGAGTAACAATGAACGACTGGAATAAACTGAGCGATACTGGAGCGAAACGTTAGATCAGCGCCCAACTCTCCACTGAGACTGTAAATAACATAATTTAGTACACCTCTGCATAACATTGTGTCCTTATTAACATTAAAGAAAAATATATAGAGATCAACTTAAAATGAAGAATAACTATTAACATTGTTTTATTTAGTTTGTAACAGGAACTAATTAAAGTGCATCAATTTGCCTGAAAAAAAAACCCAACTTAAATCCTTATTTAAACTGTAAACATTTTTGACCATTTGATACTGAAAAATAAAATAAAATATAATCAATAAATAATAAATTCTAATTATCAGCAACATTTTAACTCGTTTTATAAAACACTTTGACCTAAAGAAACCCAATAATGAATAAAACAATTTGTGCTGATTTTATTTTTTAATCAAAATGAGGACGTCAGGATCAATGAGCACACTCCTCGTTTAAAACTAAAACATTTTGTCAACACAAACGAGGAAAGAGGGTGCAGGTAACCCTCTCGCTTTGAGTTTACTCTTTGTTGCATGCGCGCTGTGAGTGACGTCCAGAGCTCATGGACATAAAACACACGTGGTGTCTGAGTTTATTTATCGTGTCAGCAGCAGAGCGGAGCAACACGGTTCAAGCATGGCTCCCAGAACAACAAGGCAGCCATCTTTGTTCATAACTTTATTATCAGTCAGTCTGACAGATATGAGCAAACAGCTGCAGGAACGCATGCGACAAAATGAGAAGGGTGAGAAAAAAAAAAGAAAAACTCCCTAAAAAAAAGCATGTTTCCCATTGCCCCAAACAAATCCCAAAAAAGTTGGGACAAGTAGCAATAAGTGGCTGGAAAAAGGAAATAGATCATATAACGAACAGCTGGAAGATCAATTAACACTAATTAGGTCAATTGACAACATGATTGGGTATAAAAAGAGCTTCTCAGAGTGTCAGTGTCTCTCAGAAGTCAAGATGGTAAGAGGATCACATATTCCACCATTGTTGCGCAGAAAGATAGTGCAGCAATACCAGAATGGTGTTACCCAGCGTAAAATAGCAAAGACTTCTAAGTTATCATCATCAACCGTGCATAACATCATCAAAAGATTCAGAGAATCTGGAACAATCGCTGTGCGTAAGGGTCAAGGCCGTAAAACTCTACTGGATGCTCGTGATCTCCGGGCCCTTAAACGTCACTGCACCTCAAACAGGAATGCCACTGTCAAGGAAATAACAGAATGGGCTCAGGAATACTTCCAGAAAGCATTGTCAGTGAACACAATCCACCGTGCCATCCGCCGTTGCCAGCTGAAACTCTACAGTGCAAAGAGGAAGCCATTTCTAAGCAAGCTCCACAAGCTCAGACGTTTGCACTGGGCCAGGGGTCATTTAAAATGGAGTGTGGCAAAATGGAAGACTGTTCAGTGGTCAGATGAGTCACGATTTGAAGTTCTTTATGGAACACTGGGACACCATGTCATCCGGACCAGAGAGGACAAGGATAGCCCAAGTTGTTATCAACGCTCCGTTCAGAAGCCTGCATCACTGATGGTATGGGGTTGCATGAGCGCTTGTGGCATGGGCAGCTTGCATGTCTGGACAGGCACCATTAATGCAGAGAACTATGTTCAGGTTCTAGAACAACATATGCTCCCATCTAGACGTCATCTCTTTCAGGGAAGACCCTGCATTTTTCAACACGATAATGCCAGACCACATTCTGCAGCAATCACAACATCATGGCTACGTAGGAGAAGGATCCGGGTACTGAAATGGCCAGCCTGCAGTCCAGATCTTTCACCTATAGAGAACATTTGGCGCATCATGAAGAGGAAGGTGCGACAAAGAAGGCCCAAGACGACTGAACAGTTAGAGGCCTGTATTAGACATGAATGGGAGAGCATTCCTATTTCTAAACTTGAGAAACTGGTCTCCTCTGTCCCCAGACGTCTGTTGAGTGTTGTAAGAAGAAGGGGGGATGCCACACAGTGGTAAAAATGGACTTGTCCCAACTTTTTGGGGATTTGTTGACGCCATGAAATTTGGAAACAACAGATTTTTCCCTTAAAATGATACATTCTCTCAGTTTAAACTTTTGATCTGTGATTTGTGTTCTATTCTGAATAAAATATTAGATGTTGGCACCTCCACATCATTGCATTCAGTTTTTATTCACAATTTGTTTAGTGTCCCAACTTTTTTGGAATCCGGTTTGTACAATTAATTTGAAAATGTTGTAAAAGTGAGACATTAAACAGACATATATACGCATCAGGACAAAAAACATTTAGCCTTGAAAAGAGATAATGCACAAATAAAACAGAAACAAGTAGACAGAAAGAGGAATTAATGCCTGAAAGTGAACTATAAAGGGCAGATCAAAGGCAATGGGGTTAAAATTTAGAATAAAACTAGCAAACATGAGCCATCATTATAACGTGCACACAAACAGAAGCAGTTAGACGGTGGAGGATGAGACAAAAACATTCAGCGATGAGTCGTCAGTGTGAAAATGAGGAAAAACAAATGAAGCTCTGACGCAGGTCTAATGAAACATTTTAAAATCACTCAGGATAATAAGTCACGTTCCACAACCAGTGATTTCAGTGATGATGACATGAAATGTGTTAACATGTTCAAATTCTGTTAAACTAGACATGATGCTCAGACCCTGAATATAAGATGATGCATCTCACCATGGATTAAAGAATCTGAACTTTTTTTGTGCTAATAACTAAATAAATGACAATAAAAGGAAAGAGTCCAGAGTTCAGACCGGCTTTGGTACATTCCATACAAAGCTAAATTTTAATTCCTGTGCACGAGTAGACAGCAGAGAGAAACGGGCTGTGCTGACCGGGAGGGGGTACAGCTTGACCAACCGTGCAGTCTGTGTTTCTGACTGCGTGTGACTCCATGACGTGTCCGTGTGAAAAAGACCGTCTCACAATCACGTCGGTGAGATCCGACGTCTTGAAGAGGAATCAGGGCTGAACTGTTCTGCCTCATCGTGAGCACGTTACCTTCTTGTCCCGCTGCTTCATGGCTTTGGTCTTCTGCTCCAAAGAAAAGCCCAGACGATCAGCTTTCTCTCGAAGCTTTGCCTCCAAGCTTTCCCGAGCGTCTCTCTCTGCTCCTTCACTGCTCCTTTCCTTCTTCTTCCTCAGCAGGTACAGGCTGATGGAGGAGAGACCAGAGATCAGCATGTAAGAAAAAATGACAACAAAAAAAAACCTATTCACTTTAAAAATAATAATAAAATGAATGCGCCTGATCCTGGGAGGAATGTTTAGTTTTTGCTACTGAAACCAACAGACGGATCAGCTCTGGCTTCTTGCCCACGTCACTTGATTTGATGCAACACGTTTAGAAACAAACACAAACAGCTTCAGTGGAAGACTGATGACGGCCAGGCAGCTGAACATGATCACAAATACAGAAAATAACACGACGGACAAGCGACTGTTAAAACTCACTAGACAGCAGCGAAGACGTTATCACCCATCTGTGTAATCACACAGCCCTGCTTTGCTTCATTTTCTCCAACAAATGAAGGAAGCGAGTCAGGAGTGTCCCTGGCAGACAGAAACAATTACATTAAAAACATACATGAATAAAAACTGCCACTCTAGATTGACACCGATTTGTTGGAAAGCTACAACGCTGTGTGACACCTGTAGTAGCCCATGTGATGTTGGCTGTCCTCACTCCCTTTGAGTATAGTCTGAAACTCGGGGGGGTCGTAGAAAAACCTCCAGTGAAGGTGGAAGTTCGGCTGAGGATTCTTGGAGTTTCTGTGAGCTCCTGCCAGAAGGTCAAAAGGCCCAACGAGCTGCAAGCCCAGGGTGTCTTTCAGCGCTCCTGCACACATGTATACAGATACAATCATCACAAAAAGACTGGGTGGAGTGTTAAACATTACTGGGTTTTCAGTTTAAATTCGACATACAGTGCATTATTCAACATCTTAGCACTAAACCAAAACAAATTGCATGTCTCCTCGGATGGATGCCTCACCGAGTACCATTTAGTACCATTAACATTTAGTCCATTCCTCTCAATCACAAGTGTCAAACTCAAGGCCCGGGGCCAAATGCGGCCCTCGTTAACATCTTATCTGGCCCCCCAAGATGATGTGTTAAATGAAACATACTTTATCACTTGAATTTTCTCAGTAATCTTTGATTATGATGTCAAAAGTGACACAGAGAACAGAGAACCTGCAACCAAGACAAGATGTTCTAACTTGAGTTAATGTAGATTCTGAAACTGGCTCTTATTTTGAAAAAGGTTTTCATTTTGGCCCCCTTTGTAAGTGAGTTAGACACCCCTGCTCTAAACGTCCCTCTGGCTAAGTATTTCGAAATACGAGTGTATCTATGTTGTTTTCATAAAACTAACTAAAAAAAACCAACACTCTCAATCTTTTTGTCCTATCAGCGCTATGCTACGGCACCAACATACCACGAGGGTCGTCAGGACAAAGCTCTTGGCAGAAATCCCAGAAGTGGTACAAATCTTCTGGCATGGTGAAGCCGTAGAGCTGCACCAACTCGTTGCGCTGCTCTTTATTCACTTTGGACAGAGACACAGGTCCATCAGGCCGGGCTTTCTTCACCTCTCCGTTGTCTGTGCCTGACTCCTGATCAAATGAGAGGAAGAGGAAACAATCACAACCTAAATTTTATCATCTGGTTAGTGTACACACCATGGTGCAAGTCAAGTTCTTCAATATGATCTGTATTGTTGTACTGGGATGTTTGTATCCTCCATAAAAAGTGAGAGAAACCATTTTAAAGCCTTGGCGACTGTATTTATTACATAATGCACCTGTGTTCAAGGCAGTGCACAGCTAAAACTGTAAGGAGTGGCTGTAGATTAGATTTGAGCTGTAAAACCTACACAAAAACGCCACATAATTAAAGTAGCTTAAGTGTGTTAGCTTACTAAGAGACAACCTATTATTAGCTAAAACCCTGACTGAAGAATGATTCCTCTGCTTTCCTTCCGCAGAGCAGCAAGGAGTCTGTCACTACTTTACAAAGGTCAAAGGGCGTGTAGTAGAAATGTAAAAACAGTTAAGGGCTTTTGTGTCATTATGTTTCGCAGTTCGGCAGTGATGAAGCTGCTGCCATGTTGTCGTCTCACCACTCAGTGCAGTGAATTAAACACATCTCGTTTCCCAGATGTTGCCTAAATGTGTCCACACCGAAACAAGGTGTGCTACCCGGAAGATTAAACCCCGGTTCTAACTGGACGTATGTTTCAAATAATCAAAAGTGGCTAGAAGGAGGATAAAATTACCTGAATGCCTTTGGATTTTCTTTTTGCGCGCCCTGTCATTTTTTTTTTCTCTCGCCTCTCGGTCGTTTTCTTCTTCTGCAGATTAATGACGGTAGAGGCCGCGCTCAGTTTAACTTAGCTGCGCCACCTGCCGGTCATAATGTGTTACTACAAGTTAACCTTAAAGATCCACCTGCACACGAGCTGTTTGTAGCAACCTTTCATTAAAGAGGGCGCACTAAAAACAAAACACACATGATTTCAGAAGTTTTATATTATTGTTGCTATATGTAAGTTTTTTGAAAAACACTACGTTTTAGGAGATGGGTTACATAATTACAGAGAAACCAGTTGATATCACTGAAAACAGTACAGTTATGTATTTATGCATTTATTTATTAATTACTTTTTGTTTTTACCACGACCTGGATGATTGAGAATTTTCGCCAGCATATCAACTGGGTTATAGCCGTTTTATTTATTTATTTATTTTTGCATTGAATAATTAGCTGTGAACGCCACCTTGAACCAGGCTTACTCTAAAAGTTGTAAATGTTCATGAAACAACTGATTTCTCAAAGATTCAATAACATTTGTTCAGGGGTTTACAATATATTTTGCTAACAGACAGATTCTGCAAATAATTTTGGCCAGAGGGGCTGCGGCCCGGCATGCAAATTTATAGTGGGGGTGCGTTGTACCCCCCCCCCCCCCCCCAGCCCTGGCTACTCTTTGGTGGAGGCCCTTTCTCTTTTTCCCCATTTAAAGCCATGCTCTGCTGTTTAACTCAAATAATAAATTATTAATGCAGCTCTGTGCCATGTATATGACATGAACTTGGCCTTTTAGACCTCCCTCCACTGAACGACGCCCTCTGCTGGTCACATCCTCTCCCCACCACCTACAGAGGGCGGGTCCATCAGTGACAGCTGAGCTGTGATTGGCTGCTCCAAGAGGAGGCTGCCATGACACAGTGGATGCTGCACAGAATCCAATCCTCAGCATCAGCAGCCAGCGATCCTCCATCCTCCTCGCTGTCTCTCTATTTCTCTTTTTTCCTCCTCCTTTTCACCTCACCTCCTCATCCCAACACTCTTGCTCTCCATTTCTCCTGTTCTTGCTCCACTCCGTACGGCGGACACACACCAGGGCCCAGCTGGAGCCCACTGCAGCAGAGGGACGTGTCCAAACAGCAGCAGCAGCAGACGGACTGGTAGGTGAGCTGAGGCCTGTTTCCCCCTCCCTACCTTCCTGCAGCAGAGGCAAGACGCCACGTTCTCCTCTGATCTCCGCCAAGGACTATCTATCTGAGAAGTGTGCGTATGTGTGTGTGTGTGTGTGTTTGTGTGTGTGTGTGAGAGAAAAAGAGCAGGGAGGACTACCACACCCTCAGATCATTGACTACCACTGGAATCATTTTATAGAATGAATGCTGAGGATGTTTTTTCTTTCCACATTCATCACTTGGTGCTTATTTCATATGCATATGGATTCATTTTCTCTTCTCAAGCTGTGTGTTGCCTTGTTTCCACTCCACAGTGCAGAGATTTGTTCCAGCTCTGACTAAGCCTTCTCAACACATGTGTTTTGCTAAGAAGGAAATTAAATGTGTGTATTTATGGGTACATTATTTGGCAAGATAAATAAGATCACTTTTTGTCTCCATCGTTAGACTCTTCTTCTCCACCTTCCTGATACGGTCCCTTCTGTTTGTACCTCAAACCCTGTCCCTGCTCCCTCTTTTTCCTTCTTTACACTTTTTCTCCTTCCTGATGGTCGGCTTTTCCCAGGATGCCTTGCTTCAGGCCACTACGGTAGGCCCTAGCAGCATGGGCGGAGCTTGGGTGGAAAGAGAAATTACAGATTGGACCCTTCCCCTCAGGACGGGAGTGGTGGTGGGTCACCCTTTTTCAGCTTCAGATGGGCGAGGACACTGAGAGCCCCAAAATTAACCACACCTTCCTGCGAGACTACGTCACCGAAGGTCAGTCAGTCCTGTCTCTGGGGACTCAGAACTGCATATGGTACATAGACTCACAATACAATACACTACGATACCATACGATTTGACACAATACAGTACAATACAGCACAATACAATATGATACAATACAATACTTTGATACGATTTAACACAACACAATACATAACAATACAGTACAGTACAATACAATACAATATGATACAATACAATTTGACATGATACAGTACATTGCAATACAGTACAATACAATATGATATAACACGATACAATACAACACTATGCGATACGATTTAACACAACACAATACATTACAATACATTACAATACATTACAATACATTACAATACATTACAATACAGTACAGTACAATACAATACAATAAGATACAATATAAATTGACATGACACAATACAGTACAATACAGCACAATACAATATGATACAATATAATTTGACATGACACAATACAGTACAATACAGCACAATACAATATGATACAATATAATTTGACATGGCACAATACAGCACAATATAATATGATATAATACAATATTTTGATACGATTTAACACAACACAATACATAACAATACAGTACAGTACAATACAATATGATACAATACAATTTGACATGACACAGTACATTGCAATACAGTACAATACAATATGATACAATATAATTTGACATGGCACAATACAGCACAATATAATATGATACAATACAACACTATGCGATACGGTTTAACACAACACATAACAATACAGTACAATACAGTACAATACAGTACAATGCAATTTGATTCCATACAATATGAAACAGTATGAGATCATACATTTTATTGTGTTGTATTACAATATCATAAAACATAATATGATGTAATATGAGTGACACAGTGAGGATGTTTTTATTTCTTGCTCCACTCCTAATGGTGGACACACACCAGGGCCCAGCTGGAGCTCACTGCAGCAGAGGGACGTGTCCAAACACATAAGAGTGTTTAACTCTGGCCCGGGCCAGAGTTCTCCTTTTTGTTCCGTGACAGAGTTCGATGGCGCGTTCACACCTCCCCAAACGAACCGGACTTCCTAGGAAAACGAGCTAGAGTTCGATTAAAGCGGATTAAACAGGGCTGGTGTGAACGCACCCTAGAGCTGTCCCCTCACAGCCAGAAGGTTTCAGGATCATCTCCCGGCCTGAGGCTTTTCTGTGTGGAGTTTATACTCTTTCAACTCTGGTTTCCTCCTACAGACCAAACACATGCATGTGAAACATACTGTGCACTTTTTCAGCGTGATTATGGATTTTTTTTTTTCAACATTATTTGTCCACTACTACCTCTTACCATTATCTTGTAAGTAGCTAAATTATGTTTATAAGGACATTATCTAAAAATTCTTGCAACATTCGTGGTGGGGTCTCAATTTCCTTACATGAGAACAAAATAACAGAGTTCCTGATTTAAGTTTTGAACACGTTCAAAAAAAGGTGTGCCACAAAATTTCCTTCAAAATAGTCACAAGGTCGTTGAGGGCGTCTCCAGCTCACCTCAAGAGAGCTACAGCTCTGTTATGAAATCTGAATGGGAGTTTTCTTATGAAAGATAACATCAAAGGCAAATTTCCAGCTTTAATGACAATTAAATATTATAGAAAAACTGATACAAATCTGACTATTTTCATTTTGAAAGTGTACTAACCTTCCTGCTGCCCTTGGGTCAAAAATATGTAATAATCAAAATTTAAATCGCATCAGTTGGTCACAAAAACGAAGAAGCCAGAAAGTATTTACACGAGGATCGAGGTGTTGGACGCAGACAGAACAGAGCATTCTTGAACAAAACACTGTGCAGGGATCCTCAGGTTCACATTCAGGCGCTCTGATGTCTTTGTCCATTTCTCCATTTCAGACTGCACTTATTAATCTGCACCATTGCTTCATATTCTCTCCCTCCCAGCTGATGTCATCTCTACAGTGGAGTTCAACCAGACCGGGGACCTGCTGGCCACAGGGGATAAAGGTGGCCGAGTGGTCATCTTCCAAAGAGAGACAGAGGTCAGGTTTCCTTCTGAACGCTCTGTTTCTATCACGTATCTGAATTTCACCTCAGCTGAAACTTGTGTTTTCTTCACTTTCTCCAGCCTAAAGACGAGTCAGAGGAGGCAGGGGAGACGGGGGACTCGGGGGAGTACAATGTCTACAGCACGTTCCAGAGCCACGAGCCGGACTTTGACTACCTGAAGAGTCTGGAGATAGAGGAGAAAATCAACAAGATCAGATGGCTGCCGCAGCAGAACGCAGCACATTTCCTGCTCTCCACCAACGGTGAGAAACAGAGACGGCTCGACCTCTAACACGATATACTGGTTTCCACCAGGAATTATTTTCAAATGACCCTGGGAACGGACTCGGTAACCTTTACAAACTTTATTACCACCTGGCCCTAATTTCTACACCACCCTGCCACTGAGAAGTGTACCAAAAACAACCAGTGATTTAATTATACACACACCTAGTACTAACAATGGTCTGGAGCATGGATTAGATACTACAAACTGTAAATCAGTTTAGTTCTGAAAATGTGAAATGGGGTTCTGTGGAGAGGTTACAAGCAATGACTATCTTACCTGTTGCAGATAGCCATTTTATTTACATTAGTTTGGAAAAAAGTAGTTTAATTCTGACCAGACTGATGAGCTAATGACTAGTTTGAGCATGGCCGAGACCTGTTCTATGAAAACAACTGTGAGGCGTAAAAACCAAGACAAAAAAAGAAAGATTTATAGAATAAAGTTTGTATGATCTGCCACGAACATGTTTTAAGGCGGCAGCAATCCACTTTGATTATGGCCTCGCTCAGACTAACTCGTCAGTTCTTCATTTCTTCACGCTGAGGTCATTCAAAGAGCTATCTACAACAGGTAAGATACTCATTGTTCAGATTCTTTCCACAAAACCCCACTTCAACAGTTTTTAGCTGTTGTTTTGAGTGTGTCCACGTCAGATGTGAGGAATCTCTTACTTAAAAAACCTTTGTTGAAGCGGTTTCACTCGTCTGTTCTGTCACTTTAGCCTGAAGTAATCTCAGTTTCCTGACGTGAATTTATTGACGCTCGCACAGATAAGACCATCAAACTGTGGAAGGTGAGCGAGAGGGACAAGAGACCAGAGGGATACAACCTGAAAGATGAGGAGGGACGACTTAAGGACCTTTCTACCATCACCTCTCTGAAGGTAAACACACACACCTGCACACACAGTCACACTCTTTATGCTCAGCCATCTTTGTTTCAGGTTCACAGACGAGGAATTAGCCTTTCAAACATTATCTGTTTGCTGACGCTCATGTCTTCTTGCATTTTTTCACCTTTCTGTCACATTTGTTTGTTTTTACTTCAGATAAATATTCCCCCTGTTGTACTTCTTCAATCTTTCACCTTTTATTTTAAATTTGAAGGTGCCAGCGCTAAAACCAACAGACCTGATGGTGGAGGTCCGTCCCAGGCGGGTGTTTGCAAACGGCCACACGTACCACATCAATTCCATCTCCGTCAACAGCGACGGGGAGACCTACCTGTCTGCTGATGACCTTCGCATCAACATGTGGCACCTGGACATCACAGACCGCAGCTTCAGTATCCTTTGTGACCACCGTTTCGTTTTATATCCCACAAAGTTGTTCAAATTTAAGTTCTGACGTCGCAAACAACAGATTTCCTCTCATTTTTACAGGCAATCGTCTCAAATAAGATTGGTAAACTTAATAAATCTTGTTTCTTAGTTTAGTTTAATAATATTCCAACCAAATAATACGATAAAATTCCCATTAGAGATTCATTCATTCAACCTTTATTTATACAGGTTAATCCCACTGAGCCTCAGGGACTCATTTACAAGAGAGACCTGATTTCTTAACAAAGAATGATGACAACAGTGCTTAACAATGACAACAAAAGACAATCATAAAAGATGCATGCACATTTATTTATATTTTTAAACAAGTGAAAATAAAATTGTAATTTAAAGGAAAAGTAGCAAAAAAAGCCCACCCAGCTAGGTTGTAGGGTGGTGTAGAAAACTCAAAACAGGAACAAGTCTGCATTGGTTTTTGCCAAGAACTTATCAGATGTTTGAAGACACTTAGAGAGGTCAAGGTCGAGAGCTCCAGATGTTTTTGTAAGATATTCCAGGAAACAGGAGCGGAGTAGGAGAAGGACCTTTTGCCAAGTTCAGTCCTCACTGAGGGAACACTGAAGGTAATAAGATATTTATTGTAGTGATTAGTTGGTATTTAGTAATCACATTGATGATAATAGATATTTTTGTTTGAGCTACAGTCAAGGTCAAGGTTCTTTATTGTCATTTGCATCACATGTGGTACATGAGGTGGAGTGAAATTGTGTACACAGGGTCCCAGTTACATCCAACAATAGCAAATAATTTAAAGTGTAAAAAGAAACAGTAAATAAGTATCTAAGGTATAAACTAAGAATACACTAAACGTTAATAATGCAAAACAATGCACCGAACAACAGCAGCACGAACACGAGTCTTTGTGGGTGGATGAGTACGAATGAATGAATACAGTATAGTATGAAATAATCAGCAGCATGAGATCAGCAGCATGGATAATCAGCAGCACATATCAGCAATCCAAATTTCATTACAGTGATTTTTTTTTACTCCATTTACAAATAAAGGCTTGTCATTCATTAAAGGAGGGCTCATCCTCTGCCACCTGAGTTACAGTCATCTGGATCAAACTTACAAATGTGTGATGTCATGTGACCGCTCACAAGAAGGGTTAGCTCTCAGAGTACGTGTTGAGTATCACACTCAGCTACTACCACACTATATATTAGTTTGTTATCTGTAAAACTGATTGAGTTATATCCATTTATGTATTTCCTAAGTTTGATTACTTGTGGTGACCAGCTTATGCGAAATTTCCTTCACAAATTCAACAGTTAGACGTACATCCTATGATTGCTTTCTGAGAGTTTCAATACAATCTATATAGTAGTTCATGAGATATTTTACTAACAGACAAAGGGGTTTGATGGCCACAGTCACTGCCAAAGTTTGAAGCAATGTTGCACAACATTTAGTGCTCCGAGTATGTTTTGTGAACAGCTTCTATCACACCAACATTAGCTCAATAATTGCCTACATTATTATTTCTGTCTAAGTAAAAGTTTGAGCCAAATCCATCTGGCAGTTCATTAGATATTTTGCTAACAGACAGGAAAACAGCATTCCAGACTCCAATATTTAACGGCAACGTTGTTAAAAACAAATATCAGCTGATCTGTTATTTAGAATTGGGGATGGCTCCCAGTTTCTACACTAAATATCAGCTCAACAACTTTAACACTCACTGAGTCTAGTTAGTTAGTGTTTGTTACGTTTGCTCAGCTGTGGCGTTCGTCTCTGATGAGGCTGACTCAAAGTTAGTCAGTTCTTTATAAAGGTTCAAGGATTACCTTCTGCGAGTTTCATCAAAATCTATCAGATATTTTGCTAACATGACAAAACAAACTAACATGTGCACATACATTACTGGCCTTTGGTAGCGGGCAATAAAAATAATAATGGACAATATTTATGGAGACGTTAGATTAAAGAAGTGGGACTGAGCTGAACACTCTTGTATTGATTAAACAGGTCTCTGTTGTAAACGAGTCCTCGTGACTCAGTGAGACTAACCTCCATTAATAAAGGTTGAATGAATTGATGTAAACAAGATTTAATTGTAGCAACATGTGCATGGGCCATCTCACATGAAGAGTACAAGTATGCATGTGTATGATATTGTTGGATGAACATATCCTGGCATTATCTTCTTACAAAAAAGTAACCACACACGAAGACGGGAGAAGATTTTTAACCCAGTTTTACTTGCAAGGGCAGATGTTCACACAGACTTACACAGATGTTTCACTGAAATCCCAGTGGCAAAGATCTGCAACGGGCAGTGTGCAGGAAGTGTTTTTATACACGGTTATCAACACGATGACCTCGGCCTCTTAGGCTCGCAGGCGTCAGGTGCCTGCAGGCTCCTCTCTGACCTCACACTCATTAATTTAGCATTAGCATTTATAAACATCCATAAACCTTTACCTGAAATCCCCTGACAGATATATTGCATTGTGAGATGTTCTAAACAGAGTAAATACTAGAAGTAATATCTGCTGCACATATTTTGCAGTTGAAACCGCTGCAGAGAGTCCAGCGTTCTGTCCCAGAGTGTTTTCAGCTCCTGTTGGACCGGCTGCCTTTAGTGTTTTACAATTTAAGTGGAAGCTGACCTAGAAAATCAGAGGCATCTGTGGAAGACTAGTTTGAATAATTCACTCCCTGCTGAACCATACAGGACGTCTGAAACACAAATAGAACAGAGTGACAGCCAGAGTGTGAGTTTGTGTTGTTTAGGATTTGGGTTGTGATTTGAGGTTGGAATAACAAAAACAGCTTGTAATATTCTTCTGAAAGCTAAAAAAAAATTAAAGTACAAGCAACTACTGTATTTTCTAGCGTATAAGTCACAGTTTGTTTTTTTTTTTGCATAGATTTATCAGTCCTGTGACTTATATGCTGAAGTGACTTAAATACGTTTTTTTTCCCATATTCATAACGCCATTTTTGACTGACGCCTTAAATTTCTAAGAACTGCGACTGTGAGTCCTCCTGTGCACGCTCGCTTCACTCAGCTGGTGCAGGTGGAGGAACACTGGAGAGCTAACAGCTCCGGCCAGGATGGATGGATGGATGAATGGAGGATGGATGGATGGATGAATGGATGGATGGAGGATGGATGGATGGATGGAGGATGGATGGATGGATGGATGGATGGAG